CTACCCCCCCCCCCCCCATTTACGTCACTGGTTATAAGTAATTAAAAGATAAATTAATTACAAATTTTTTGTTTCACAAATCTCAATATGATGACAATAGTCTTAGAAGTTAAAAATAAGACTTCTTATAATTTTTAAATGTGGTGACTCAAGGTGGATGTAAATACTAGACTAATGCAAATGCCCCAGTTACCCCCCCCCCCGCTAAATAACTGAGATAAGTCAACTCTTTCAGACTCGAGTGTATAATGTATATAATTATAATATATAATAAATGTCGTAGCTAATTCGTGAAATCGATTTGTTCGTGACGTGGAAACGTCTTTATCACACTTTGTGAAATTTCATGAAATATGGATATAAAATGACCACTCCAATTTGACATCAATACATTATGTAACTTTTTTTCACTTTCTGAAATAAAACGTTTGCCATATGAAGTTAAAACTATTATTTATTTATCATAAGTTATATTTTTTAAAAGTCATATTTAATACCATACACGATTATTTTACATAATATGTATATGTTACGGTAAATGATGTTACATCGGAAATTAACGTTATTCGCCGGTTATTTACGTTATTTACCTAAGAATGTGGGAATTATCGTTATTTTCTAGTGAATAACGTTAATAACCGTATGATTTGGGAAATGTTGATTTTATTTTAAAATAATGTCCAACGAGCAATGATAAAGTGATCGCTAAACTAATTGTGGTACTAATTGGGTAAATCAATAACACTTTATCGGCCACAGATAAGGTGGACACTGGGCCTATACAGTATACAATTACTATACATATTATAACATCGGTATAAGATTTATTCAGTTTAAAAAAAAAGAGCTTTTCATTCAGGTACTATTAACATTTTACTTATTTTTATTAATAGTTAGTAAAAATTGTTTTTTTTTTTAATGTTTATTATTTACATATTAGGCATAGGTAGAACGCTATATGAAGCGATGTTTGGCTGCACGGCTAGAATTGGTTTAATGTCGTCTAATCTTCCAAACGATGAAATAAAATAGGTCATTACGGAAGAAGATTTAGAAAAAATAACCTATCACCGAAGAAGACGAAATCGGAAATGAAATCATAGATTAAATATAATTACACACGCCAAGAAATAGCTGCTTGCGAAGAAAATCTATTAGACATGTACAATGTGATAAAATTAGCAGGTGATAGACAGTTGACACTGAGGGAAGCAGCTAGTAATAGTTCGGTTGCGGTCCCTCAAGGGTACCAGCGTTGCCATTGCAAGACTGGTTGTTATAATAAACATTGTGCCTGCCGTTGGGCTGAAAAATTATGTAATAGTAAATGTTATGGGAGTACAAATTGTAAAAACAAATAAAAAATAATAAAGCATTTTTTCTATTTTTAAAAATACCTATTTTGTAGTAGGTATTTGAGATTCACGTGCATATCTGGTCTATAACAACAATTACCTGTGTATTTGGTCATTAATGTGATTATCCGGTTTATAACGATAATTACCTGTGTATTTGGTAAATAACGTTAATAACCGGTGAATTACGTTAATTTCCATTTAACATCATTTACCGTAACATATATACTATATATGCATTACATGTACATAAAATAATCCAATAATATTATGATGTCATTACCTACGATAACAGGATTATTTTCACATTGTTTTTTCAAATATGTTGTAGGTAGCATATTTTTCTCATAAAGTCTGAAGTAGTTAAGTACCTACCAGTGTCTGGAAAGAACTTCGTTCATGTTTTCAAGTTCATATATAGTGAATTCGTTTCTCTTCACTCGTCCCTAGTTTTTTGCAAATAAAACGTGAACGACGTTTATATTTTTAATGAATTTTATCGGTTTTTAAACCGTTCAATTTCATTACCATTTAAAAAATATTATATGTATAAAATGTATTAATTAATTATATTATTATAATAATATTTTCATTTTTCCTATTGTAATTCATATAATATTATTGTTTGAGATTGCAAAATATATAAATTAAATACGATAAACTCCAGTGTCTCCGGATACATACAACAATAATAATATTACGATTTCCACGAATTTGTAATAAACCTAATCGGTTTATCATAATAAGTACCCTAGTACCTCTTTATCACTTTCCTCATCAGAATGTAACTCAAATAACGTGTCAGATATTAAAAATTAATTCAGATACTTTATAAATTGTATAATATGCTCTAAAGTCTAAATTGTATTTTTATTTTTTGGTTGAGTCCTATATGTTTATGGGTTTTTAATTTTTATATTGACTGCAAGTTAACGATTCATAAAAAAAAAAGTGCTCTGCTGTACAGTAGGTTACAAGTCGGTCACTGCATAATAGATGGTATTAAATTTGATTTAATTTTTTAAATTTGAAAATTCAATGATATAATTGTATAAGAAAAACGATTCTGAGCAGTATGTCAGTCTAGTTGTCAGTCAGTCAAGTGTATTTTTAATATTTTTCAACTGATATTGTAACAATATATCAGGAGCCTTGTAATTAATTTTTTACACTTTTTGACCCAACAGAAAAAACTTGATTGATATTTATAGAAAAAAAAATTTTTTATTATATATTTTCTATGCATGATAAAATTTTCAATATGTTTGACTCTTCTTGATATAGATACTTTTAATTTTAAATTTTCTTGTCTTCTACACATTTCGATGAACACTTGTCACGTGATAAGTAAGCACAATATTGTAATACAAATGTCCTCATTAGTTGAAATTCATCTAAATCATGAAAATTTGAAAATTATTTTGTAAATGAAAATGTATAAAATGGACAATAAAATAATAATTTTTATTCTCGGTCAAGATTTTCAAACGCTATAAATAATTTTTTACATAGCGTTTTGGCGTTTATACTAATTATACATAAAAAAGAAACCAATCGAATTATTATTCAACGAAAATATATATTTGTGCTAAATTAAGACAATTTACAGTAGGTACCTATAAATTATAATTATTTCAAATATTTTTACATATTATACAGGAATATTTATCAAGTGTAACTTATACGTCATAATAATATACCTCTAACATAAATAATTTAATAACGCTTAATAGTGATCCAAATTGTTATTATTGAACATTTCATTTTATTTCGAAAATTTTGTAACTACAATTATTTTATACAATATTCATGTTATACATGTCACACATTTTACTTCGAAATTATTTCATACATTTTATACAGTTTATACAATTTATACATATCATACGTATTCGACAGAGCATCGAGATAATCGAAAAAATATTGTTATAGATTGTACTTATACCGCGGTATATTCGATATAGCAGAATCTGCAATGGCACAACAGCAATTATTGCTCGGGACCAGTGGCGCCGAAGTTTTTAAAATGTGGTCGGGAAATTTTAAAACTTCCCGACCTCAATATCTTAATTATTTAATATAGAGGTACCCTAATATGAATTTATTCATAATGACGGTTTAAATTTACTCATGCTTATAATAAAGTTATGATGTAAATTAAATATGGCCAGCCGGCCCCTTTTTTCAAAAAAGAGGTCGGGCCACGGCCCGGCGTCAGCATGGACTTCGGCGCCACTGCTCGGGACTATATAAATGTGCAGCAAAATAAGCGCCTGAAGAATTTCTCAGTATGTTTCCAAAACGATCGGTTCTTGATCGATTTGACCGCCTGCACCTATCCCGTTATTTCCACATCTGTGTCCTGCAGAATTCTGCACAAAGCTGACCGGAATCGTTATACAATCCATAGTTCGGTCCAGTAGCGTACGCAGGATTTTAGTTCGGTTAGGGTTTCACCTGTGTAAATAATTTACATTATTGTTTTCTAAATAGTTTTTATGTAATTGGTTACGACAAATTATAATTAGTCTCAAATGTAGTCTACCTTAAGAACACTCGAGTGTTCAATCTTGACACCTATAGAGCCTCTTCGGGTCGTAATATGTGGTAGTTATCGATGGACGGTGATACATGATGGTACACCATACGACGGTTATGACTAGGGCACGGATGTTGTAGTACTAAAAAAATAGTAAAATTGATTGCAGTATTGCACTAAAAAATACCAAAAATTGCACTTAAAATATTAAAAATTTTACTAAAAAATAACAACGTTTTGTTATAAATGTTTTAAGTTTACTGTCATAAATTATAATCTAAAATTCTAAATAATTCAAAAAAAAAATATATAAGTACATTACATTATAATCATGCCATTATAAATTTATTATATTATACATCATTGCACTGTACTATAAGTGTTTGTTTTAAATTTTCGAAATCAAACCCTCTTCGATTTGGAGCTAGTAAGTTCTTATATCTCGAAAAACTTCATTCTACGTCGGTTGATGTAAGCGGAGCGTATTTAAAATAAGATAAATCGCTTACTGTTAAGTCTTCGGGTAAACCATCGAACGATTTTCTTTGTCCAGTTAGTATATCATTGATTTTAATAATGGTTTTAAGTCATATATAAATTTTAATATGGCTAAAATAGTTGTATAAACGAGTAAATTCGACAAAATTGCAATAAAATTGAAAAAATCCCAAAAATTGCAAAAAATTGCACTTAAAACTTTTAGATTTGAATTCGTACTTACATGAAACGTATTTAAAACTTACTTAGCAATTAATTGAAAAAGTAGAAAAAAAGTTGCAAATGCAACATCATCCGTGCCCTAGTTATGACAAATGCTTAGCAATGTTCTAAATCAGCCAAAAAACTGAAACTAATATGATTATCGACGTCTTTGTCATATTTAACAATTAATATTATATCTATTAAAAATGACCAACAATTGATCGACTTTGTGTATTTAAATAGTTTTATTTTTTTGTCAACGGAAGAAATTTCAGGGGGGGGGCAGAACCCTAGAACCCTACCCCTGCGTACGCCACTGGTTCGGTCTGCAGGGTTTTCAACTCCATCATCTTCTGCAGGACTACTCGTGGCGGACGGCACTCGGTTTGCCGTTTCGGGTGTCGTCAACACGATGTCTGAAAAATAGACTTTTCCAGTCGACTTGTGGCGTAACAGCTGGCACGACTCTTTGCCAAGTCCAAATCCATGTCGTTCAATGAAACCGCCGCGTTCGTGATCACCACCTGCAGGTCCTTTATCGCAGCATCCGCGGTACCCTGTAGATCCACACTGCAAGTGACCTGCACAGCTACATCGAGTTCTGCAGGTAGGGATTTCGCCTTGGTCGGCGCTAGAATTTTCTTTTCGGCACTTTCAGCCGGTGTCAATAGCATTATATTCGGCATCGGAGCAGAGTACGGCCTGGTCAATGGACTTCCTGCGTAATGGCAGCCCGCACGTCTCTTGTTCGAACCCATGAGATTTGTCGAAGACATCTGAATAGTAGGTACGAGAGTTATTTCAAATTATAATTGATTAGTTGCACAGAAAATAACTCGGGATTGAAGACACGAATAAATTATAGTTTAATACTAGCTCACCATTTCCTTGAATGCGAGACTTTATGCGCTTACTAGGTATAAGTCTGGAATACATTTCAATTCAAATTGAGCCAGTTAATTAAATACGAGAATATACAGAGGGATTTACCAGCATGCTCACCCTCATTTTTTTCTTTAATAATAAATGTATTCAAATTATAATTTTAAATATTATGCTCATAGACCATATTATTTTAAATTGTATAGATTTCTATACCATTTAAGAAGTGTCCCTTGAAGCAATTTCGAATAATTTTTTTTCAGCTATGATATCCAAGAATAAAAATATCGAAAAAATATGATATTTTGTATTTATATTATTCATTATGATTTTATAATACTAACAATAATTGGAATATTGAAAATCGCCTCGATCATTCCCTAGTTAACTTGTTGATCAATCATAATCCGTTTTCAAAATTAAAATCTGTCAAACCAAATTTTTCCAGTTTTGTCTAGCTTATTGGTGTAAAAGTCACTTTTTTTTTCATTGGCTGGAGCCCCCTCCAGCCCCCTTAAGATTTATTTTATGATACGGAATTTAAATATATTGACAACATTATAACAAACAAAATTAATGTTTAGATTGGTCAAATCTACATCAGTTTTCACTTTTGAAAAAACCGGTGGCAACCTTCTTAATGTACTGATGTTATACTAACACAGTAACACAGTAACACAGTAACACCATAGCCCACAAGAAATGTTTAGTTTAGGCACAGAAAAATAGGTTTTGATATTCGACGACAAACACGTATTATCATACGTAACTATAGATTGATTGCAATAATATTTTGGATAAAATGCACCAAATAATGTACTCTTAGTAATAAAAATATTCCAAAAATATTCCCTTAGTAGATCTTAATGAAAACAAATTTGGTGGGAAATATACTATTATATACCTACGTAAACTGTGAAACTGCAGTATAGGTGTACCTATTGTTATTCGTTGTAAATGCTTTTTTGGTTATAAACAGTAACTACGCATGCGAATTGGTACCAACAGGCCCAGTGGCGTATTTACGGGGGGGGTCCATGGGGTCCGGACCCCCCCCCCCATTGACTCGTGTCTCGTACATGTTAAATGTTGTGCAGTTTTTACATGATTAAAAAACAAATTTTATCATACGATATAACGGATTTTATAAAAAATTTTCGAAGCTATAGTTATATCAACATTTTCAATAAATATCGTGAATATTTTTATCAGTTGGGTACCGAAAATGGTTGAAAAATACCAAATTCATTTTTAATTCAAATATTTTGTAGTTTTGTACATTGCCAGTATCTACAACCACTCCAGAGAGATCTTTTTCAACCTTTTTAAGGTTAAAAAGCTATCTAAGATCAACTATGAATGAAGTAGGTACCTAATGTAATTAAGAAAATATTTGTATAAAAGTTATAACATATAACTATATATTCGATTCTGAGGGATCTATTGGTTCTACAATGGTGTTTATTTTTTTTTCCTGTATACAAATTTTCTTCCAGAAGGAGTGCTTCGATTTAAACATGTATAGACATATAGTAACTTATCTTTTAGAAAATTGGATCAAGATAGTACTTTAGAGAGGTCATTTTTCGATTTTCTCAATAGTTATTTAATGTCACTGTAAAAACCACCAAAAAATTACGAAAAACCGCTAAAAATGGGATTTTAATTTCTAACACTTTGTCTATCACCATAGAAAAAAATAAAAGTATTTCATTATTAATTCAACTTACAGGCTATAATAAATAATAACAATATAAAATATCCAGACTGACAAATCGTCTTCGAATCATTTTTCTTCTACAATGATATTATGATATTATATCATTGAGTTCAAGTTTAATGCAATCCATTATACATTGACCCACTTGTAACCTACTGTACAGCAGCAGAGTGACATCCACTTACCCGCTTCTTTTTAAATTTGTTTTGTACATATTATTATTTAATAATTAAAAACTCGACAATTTTATATCGTCTTATAAATATGGTATATTTTATTTAATAAAGAGTAAATGGGTGGTGTGGGGGGCTTCGTCCCCCGTGGCTCTGTGTTCTGAAAATTATCTTGACCCTCCCCATGACCAAATCCTAAATACGCCACTGCCAACAGCGGTACCTATAGACACCTAGTACCAGATATATAGGTACGTACCTTATTATACAATCTACATGTTATTATAATTTACAAGTATGATTACGTAAATAATCGTTTTGGACGCAAACGACCCTTCAGCAAATTGCGACCGAACATTATTTTGGACGTAACCGCTTACCACCGAGGACTGCTGGCAATAACCATAACCTAATAGGGGCCAATAACCTATCGGACTCGAACAACCTACTTGCGTCTAAAACCTTGCAGATGCGAGCGACCTGTTCTCATAAATTTGGGACGCATTACGCGCATGTATAGGTACTATTATTGTATATTATGCACTGGCCCAGGCACGCTGCAGCACTCGAAGCACACGATTGATATACATTTATAACTATATTATAATACGTATCATTTTGTCACGGTCGAATGGAGGGGTGGAAAAAAAGAATAGATTTTCGTGTATAGAAGCCGTTTAATTATTACCCGCCATTGTCTTCGCGGCGGATGCGCACACACCCGGCGCTCCTCCACCCTCACAACCACCGCGCCGCCAACACCTCCGCGGAACCTCCGCCCCCACCCACCCCAAACTGGCGTACGCCACTGAAGCACACGTGACCGCGTTTTTTAATAAAGTCTTTGCCACCCCCCTCCCCATTACACCATACCGACGACCCAGCAGTTCCCCTCGACGTTCCGCCCCGGCAATACCGCTGAGTCGGCGGCAACGGAGAAGAGCACTTAATCTACACGCGAATGACGCATTATAATAATAATAATACACGACTATATACGTATTATACCATATAATTTATATCATGTTTTATGTATAATGTAGGTACACACACACCCTCAAAGTATATAATACGATGCTCTCGATCTTTATCCTTTTTCCAAACACCGTCGTGCGTCCGGTCGGCAAATCATCCCTGTATATTATTATGTCGAATGTAGTTCAGCTGTTGTCGTGAAATTCTGGGAGGGAGAAATTTAATTTTAATAAATAATAGCCAACACAACCTGCAAGTACCACCTCATCGTTTATATCCATAGTTTTAGAATAGTCAACTCACCTGTGATCTATATAGGTAGGTACTATATACATTTTAACAGTTTTGTTTTGTTTTTATTTTACCTGTTTACTTTGGACTCGTGTTTATACATATTTACTATATGTTATATGCGTACTTATATACTTATGTTTATACCAAACACCAATACTTATGTAAGACTCAGTGGCGGATTTGAGGGGGGGGGGCGACGTGGCGATTACTCCCCCCTTGGGCTTTTTTTTTTTTACTTGAATTATATATTATATTCATTAATCATAGAATATGAAATTCATAAGTCATAAATATAACTTCAAGCTTAATAAATGATACAAAAAAGGTTTTTTTATGAATATCTTATCAATTATTATTATTTGATTATCAATACAAATTATCAAATTTAAATAACAAGATAATATTCAAAACATATAGGTTATAACCATAGAGTACCTAGAGTAGTAGAGTATTATTACTAACATATATAACACATATAACATATAACCACAATTTGTGTAGACAACAACACACCACACGGTTACAGTTTTTGATTATAGATAGAATGACAGATAAAATCATTTTATCACCAAGCAGCACCGACGCACCGTGTCAATCTGTTATCACTTCATTTTTATAAAATAAATGAAATATTTTGTTCACCGTGAGTGTTTGTGACTGTGGTAAAAAAATAAATAGTCTAATAAAATATCTAATAAATTATAATACTAAGTATACTATTATAATATGATTAATACATTTGTTTATAATATTGATTAAAAGACTGTTGAATTTTTATAACTGTTTATTCTATTCTTTTTTTTTATCAGATGTTGAAATATTTATTTTTAGGCTTTTTCTATTTTTAGATAATTTAAAAATTATTTTGTCAAATAATTTAAAGATGTATACAACAAACTGTTGAGAATGGGGTTGTTAGAACTTAGAAACTAAATTTTGAAAACTTTTATCCCAAAATGTCAATGTGAAGTATATTATAACAAATTTGGAGCTCCCTAGTCCCTACCCACGGAAATGTGTTTTCAGTTACGTCCTTGTTATACTCTGGCGAGAGAGCATGCATATTGGGCGGTCTACGTATGGCTTGGAAAGGCTGGGTACGTGAGGAGCTAACCGATTTTCGTCGGGCCGTGGCGTTCTCTTTCGCTGAACAGAGTATAGCATCTATCAATCTATGATACAAATTCGCCCCCTCCTTAAACAAGCTTCAGATCCGCTACTGGTAAGACTGCGGTTCTAATTTGACACTAATAAAATAGTAAAGCTGATAATATTTTATAATATTATGCTGGAGCTGGACGGACAAACAAATCATTTAATCGTATAATGTCGAGTATAAAATAATCAAATGCATGCCTATATATGGTTGTACATGCGATGATCCATTTACCATAAGACGCACTCATTATTTTGCATAATTTTAAGTCATTAGTCATTGGTCATTACAAAACAACGTTTTTTGAAATACAAAATTAAATTTTTAAATTTTTTATCGTTAGAAACATACAACATACAATTTCATATTCTGGAGCAAAATATTATTCGGAGTATTTCGATCTATAAAAATCAATTCATTTAGGACAACTGACAATTAGTATTTTATTAATTATAAATTATAACTTATAACTTGTATGCATACTTAAAGTGGACCAACATTGGGCAAGATACGCCTTGTGATCCTGTAGTACCACCCCGTTTCCCTCATCTAAACTTTAAATACTTCTTATAGTTATATTATATTTTATATTATATCTATAGTTATAGTCTATAAACGAGGTACCTACTCGTCCAAAAATCAATTTTTATGCATCGAAGTATCAAGTAGGTACCCCAAACATTATTCTGAATAAGGAATTAAAAATGCATGTTGCCATGTTGTCAATATAGCAATAATTATGTAAAAAAATAGTACTTCGTCTAATGGTAAGACTTGGGACATGTGTTCGAGTTGGTACGGTTTGATGGACTTTTCACGTTATCACTATTATGGTCTATGCTCTATGGTTGCTCTGTAATTGTGATGATCAAAATTTTTTTTATCTCGTCTTATAGCAACATTTATACCAACAGACTTGTAGATACTACACTAGAATACTAAATACTACACTAGGCACACACATACTATACACTAGATAAGGAACTAATATATAATTTACACTGTCACAAGGGAAGCTCAGCTGCGGACGTCTGCCATTTTGTCTGTTGGCAAAACATTTCGTTCATTTTGAAAAAATGTATGAGGAATAACATCGTTTATAACAATATCCTTGAATTATTATATAGCCATAGGTAGGTAGTCGAGATGACTGTGTGTGGTTGGAGAAAATTTAAAGCTCTGCACATATCCCCATAAAATGAATTCGAAATCCCAAATAAAGCACGACGAAATTATATTCAGAACCGATGCCTATTATAATAATATACTATTGAACAATATAGTTGCTATGGGTTGAGCACTCGACTTCGGTACTGCGTCGTTTTCACCTGCAGCATTTCGGATTTATCGGCTCTCTCATCGTTTTTTTTTTTTTCCGTACACACCTTACTTATTATCAGATTCACCACTTTCGTCGTCGTCATCATCATCGTCGAATTGAATCTCGAACGAACTTCCCGACTTCCAACTAAGATTATCGACGTCAGCAGCAGCCGTAGACCACGTGCACTCAAACGGTATTACGGCCGCCATTATGTTTAGCGGGCCCATCGCATCCACCGGATTGCCGCCGCCGAGCTCGCTTTTCGCGGGTCCCACCGAATTGCCGAGCTCGCTTTTCGCGGGTCCCACCGGATTTCCGCTGCCGAGGTCGCTTTTCGCGGGTCCCACCGAATTTCCACCGCCGAGTTCGCTTTTCGCCGGTCCCACCGGATTTCCACCGCCGAGTTCGATTTTCGAGTCGTTTCCGGCCGGTTCGTCTGCAGGCGCCGAGTGAAACGGGGTCCAGTGCGAACACCGCCGATCGCACTGCGTTACCGCTACCTCGGTTACCGCAGCATCCGACCGGTCAGTGTTTTGCAAGTGTTGACGACCAAACACTTTGTCACCGATGTAACAATTTTCTCCGAAAAATATGGGAAACGTGTAAACGGTTTTCTTATCACCCATGTCGAGGCCCGTTTGAATGAGGGTGTTTACGCTTGTGTTGAAACTTTCAAAGTGTTTCTAAAAAATTGAAATGTCATTTTTTTTATTGTCGTTTACGATTACGGCTTTGTTTATTATATATACACGACTGGGTTGTTATATATTTTTATAATATTATTTCATTGATATATTTTTACGTTGATTTTCGTGATATTGTAATTTTTTTTTAAATTATTATAACAAGACATTCCTATAGCCTATACGGCTATCTACAATATTGTAATTAAATACCTATTATTATTATGATGTATAATAATTTAATTATATTTGTTATTTAATTATTTATAAATTAACGTAACTCGGATTTGTTATTTATTAAGTTTATATAAATAAAAGCCAGTTAAGTTAAAAATTAAGTTAATGAAAATCAAATTCAAAAAATTTAAGTTAAAATCACATATCTATGTTAAAAGAAGAATTGACAGCTGCAGAAGTTGAAATTGAAGTGCAATATCTTCAAATACCTCACATAAACGTTTGAAAATATTAAAACTGGAGAAAATTGAAAATAAATTTGTATATTATTATTCCTGTCGAGGTACAAACTTCTGTGTTTCAAATGAGAACATCCCTTTTTAGCTGTAAGCTATGTAAATTATATTCAGTGGATCATTTTCTGAAAGTTTTTAAGTATCAGAATCAAAATTCGTACGAATAGACAGTAATTTTTAAGTTATTACATTTTTTGTTCTAAGAATAAAAGGTCTATAGTAATGAGTTTATATGATTGTCAATTTTAGTAATTAATAATAATAATTTGTAAACATGGCCCAAGTACCCATAGTAAATATTATATACAATTTTACGTTTATTTTATTAAACATTTTAATAACTAATAGAAACTATACTCATTCGAATTTTGAATTAGGTACTTTCATCAAAATGAAAAATTATCCATTAAATAATTTACAGTAAAAAAGGCGGTTCTCATTTGAAAAACAGAAGTTCGTATCACCACAGGACACTCCTTAAGTAGTACAAAAAAATAAAATCGAGAATTTGAAAATATGGTCTTTGAGTATATTTAAAGGAAAAAAATAAGAGTGAGCATGCTCGGTGCAGAATCACCCTGTATATAAAAATGAATGTTTATATTTTATTTGTTTGTCCTCGAGTTATAATTCACAACATTATCTTATACAGTCATACCTTGGTACCTTATGAATGTGTGATTATAATTATAATTCTAAAATCGGTAGGCTCTGTTACGAGGTTGGCTAAATTAAAGCTTTATTTTAGTCTTAAATCTGCATTTAATAGGTTCTCTGTTGAACTATCGTTCGGCCTATATTCGAATATGGTACTTTAAATTGGGACCCGCGTATTGCTGATAACGTTCACCACCTTCAAAGGGTTCAGCGAAGGTTAAGTATATGAGATTTGCAAGCTTCTTTATGAGTACCTACCGCTTGTCCACGAGCCCACCACACGATTATTATTCGTTTGCCAATTGTCTTGGATTAGTTTCGTTAGCATAGAGCGTCGATACTTTTTTTGTGACCTGCACATTTTTAAAAGGCCTATTAACAGGCGACGTTACATTCCTTTTAATTGATCTGAAAGTCCCCAACGATCCACTTTTTCATCGTATAAGTAAATCACCAAATGCACGAGCTTAATAAATCCATAATAGTTTGATATCGTCTTATGTAAATATGGTCCCCAAGCCTTTCATTTTTAACTGTTTTTTTGTTTGTCATTCTTATTAAAAAATGTTATTCATGTTTATCCATACCATGCTTTCTGTAGCGGACGCCACTAACGGTTAGAATAATTTGTACAAAAGAGCTCAGACCCTATAATTCATTGTGAATAAATAAGTACCTACTTTCATATTTTTGTTTTTTTATTGTTTAATTTTTACTAGTTTAATTTTATCGATATAATAAATTACAATATAAACCCGATTCCACACAAGCGCCATTCGTAGTTTATAGACAGTTTATAATAATCAACAATTTATTACTGAGGTACTTACAATATGAACTAATTAGTAATTAGGTATTGCTATTCCGATGGAATACGACATGTTTAAAAGATATTTTATAATATTGTTATAAATAATAAATATCAATTATAATGTTTGTACTTACATTTTATAAATAATAACAGGGATGATGACAGTACCGACTAAGTGAAAAATCGCAAATGGCCGATAGAAACAACAATAAAATATGCTGTTTTAATTGATAGTTTTTTTTTTTTTTTTTTGTTTGAGACCATAGAGCCCCTTTGCCAGTGAAGCACGCGACGTACAGCTGCTTCGTTGACGTGAAAATGAGCTGAGTTAATGGGTAGTCACGAATATAATATAATATACTACTATAATAGTATAATATAATATATGTGTGTGGGTAGTGTAAGGTAAATAATTGTTATAAAAATACTGCGAAAGCACGGAATGGATTTGGCCCAATTGTAAAATCCATCTCGCACGAAACCTTAATGTACTAATTTAATCCACTTATGTGTGCATAAATATGAACATAAATTTTAGTTATTTAGATAATATAGGTACGTAATTCACCAAAAACCTATTAAAATTTTGTTAAATAATTGTTTATTCATATTTTGTATTGACGACAACCTAACAGAATGACGAAATTACAAACGGGGAAAGATGATGAATTCAGTATTCCTCACTGTTTATCACAGATAACGTCCCAACGCGCATATACCTCCATGTGATTTCAACATGTTACTCTATGGTAAAATTAGTCGTATATTGAAGCGAACTATGATAAAAATGTCATGTACAGCGTACCTACTACCTGTTTTAGTGTAATTTTTTAGCGTCAAAACGAAGAATATCAACAGACCACGGCAAGTTGTATAATATTCTGAAAGTACAACTCAATAAGTAGGTACCTACTAATTCATCGGATACCTATTTCTTTTACAATAGTTTTGGTGAATGATTAACGTTCTGTCAATAAAAATAGCACAAGGGGAAAGATGACGAATTTTTAACAGGGAAAAATGACGCTTCGTTTTTAACTCGTCATCATACCCACACATGTATTGTTTTAAATATCTTTTATATATGTTACCGTCAATTAAGTAAATTCAGGTAATGATGATATTGACTAGCCAATTAATATAATGCCTGGGTAACTTGGTCATTATCTATAATCAACATATATTTATAACATTGACTTGATAAATCAGACGATGTTATAATTTGATAAATTCACTAGTTATTATAACATATCCTATCGTCGTGTAGTCAATGTTATCTTTTATCGTTTTAACTTTAAAAACCCACGTTAAGATTAGGTATCTGTTTTATAACGAATAATAGTAGGTATCTTTATAGTTTTAATATACTCACGGCAACTAATCTAACATAAGTATTGTTACAGTCTACGTTGTACTTTCGTATAATATAGTTTATAGTTTCATATAGTTTTTCGTTTCGAAAAGTGTTGAATTGTATTATTAAAAAAATGAATTCAAATGAAATGCGTCAAAAATTTTACAACGCATTATCTGATTTACTGAAAAATAAACGCGAAGATAATAAATCATTTTTAAACAAAGAGGAATATATGTTAAGATTGCAAGAAGTTAAATTAGCTAAGGAAAAAATTGGGAAGAAAAGTGCAAAGGATTACAGATACATTCGTAAGTATGATATAATAACACTCAATGGGCAAGAACGACTTATTAAATCTATAAGTAATAATTCAGAAAATGTACACTATTATGTATCAAATGACGAATTATTTGATATTTTACACGATAGTCACATTGCAATAAGTCATGGTGGTCGGGGCCGCATGGTTTATGAATTAAAGACAAAATATTGTAATATTACCAAGGAAACTATTATGATATATTTAAGTCTTTGTATGCATTGTGAAAAAAAATCATCGAATCCAAAGCGAGGCCTAGTTTCTAAACCCATACTTCATAATGCATTCAATTCACGAACCCAAGTTGACCTTATCGATATGCAAAGTCAAAGTTATAATGAATTTAAATTTATCATGAACTATCAAGACCATTTAACAAAATTCGTTCTACTTAGACCTTTAAAATCAAAACGTGCTGAAGAAATAGCATTTAATTTGATCGATATTTATACTACATTTGGTGCACCTGCAATACTCCACTCTGACAACGGAAGAAAATTTGTAAACACTATTATAACTGAGTTTAATATGATGTGGGGTGATATTAAAATAGTTCATGGCAAACCAAGGCACAGCCAAAGCCAAGGGTCGGTAGAACGAGCGAATCGCAATGTTGAAGACATTTTGGCAACATGGATGGCTGAAAATAATTCTAGAGATTGGCCATCGGGAATAAAATTTGTTCAATTCAGAAAAAATCGCGCGTTTCATTCAGGTTTGTGAATTATATTTATTAATAAAAAATTTATTAAAAAATTTAAATTTAATGTAACCTAACCTAACCTGCCGAAAAAGAAATTACACTCCGTGAAGCGGCTGGAGTCAACAGTGTTATGGGAACTCAAGGATTTCAACGGTGCCACTGCAAAACAAAATGCAAAACAAATAAATGTACTTGTAGATCTAATAACCGGCTTTGTACATCGAAGTGCCATAACAGCTTATCATGCGAGAATAAGTGATACCCATACGTCATAATCAATAATCAATATACAAGTATTAAAATAATAACTATTATGAAAAAATTAATTTTTTCTTATATTTTTTTTTCATTGTTTATTCTTAAATAGTAAATATAATATATTATATCTAAAATTATCAATGGCTACATAGTTTTAGTCAATAATGACAATGACTGGTCAATCATAGAAATTATGTATTAATATTAAATTTGTTCTATTATTGTCTATCTTAGTTAGGTATTCTCTAAAATGACTAGCCAATAATATCAATGCCTATGTAAAATAGTCAGTGTTAACATAGACTAGTCATTTTTAACAATACCTAATTATCATCATTGGCGGTAACATATATATAAAAATGAAT